AGAAAGGGCAGATATAGGAAGACAAATATGATATAATGAAGTTGAGCCACAACACAAGGTTAATGCTTCTTCACCTTCAAAGAGTACCAGGGCATCATTTCTCATCATAACTGTTGAGTTTTTGGAAGTCTCATCCAAATGACAGTGCCTTCCACAGCCAGCTATTCCCCAGGGCTGCCCTAACAAGCCAGCCTGTGATGTATGGGTAAGCTCTGTCTGGCTGTGTCTACCCAAGTGGTGACATAAGGCTACTTACTCTCCTTCATGGATGCAGACAAGGACGCAACCCGTAGTGGCACTGATTCTTGAAGTAGAAGACTTGGAGAGGGAGCCCAGTTTTCCATGGCACTGATTGTTATTTTCAGTGAGATATTTACCTCTCCAGTTTTCTCTCTGCCAAGTAGAAATCAAAGTATTTCTTCCAGCATCTCAGAGTCTTAACTGTGTGTTGCTGGCTTCCGCGGCTTCTCTTCAGTTGATGAGCAGCTACAGAAGAGCTTTAGAACTGACATGGGGAGAAGAATCTCTGAGGAAGAGATGCGCTGCATCCCACATCTCCCTAAATCATCCACCAGCTGTCTTTTATTAGGTCACCAAGAAGACATGCCTAGGGGGACACTTCAAATAAATCAGCAGTCTAGGATAAATTGGATCTGCTCCCAAATTGTGTCCATAGTTTCTTATTTCCATGAGCTTATCTCCAGATAAGCTCTATTTTGTAATGCTTTGCCAGTAAGTCTAGAATGTACTGTGAGTGAGAAATGTGTTTCTAGAACTTTCTTCCTAGACTGTTACGCAAACCTTGGCCTTCACATTGTCCTTCTTCAACTTGTATAAGATGCATGGCAACACAAGGCTCCAGATACTTTAGCCTAAAACACCCCTTTTATTTTTTTGTGACAACAGCACTGGAGCTGCAGCCTCAGGTCTTTCAAGAGACATTCTGAGAGAATGGCCTTCCAAGTGACAGCCCTAGAGAAACATGACTACAGACTTTTCTCACCACCTCATGAAGAAGGAAAAACAAAAATGTCCACAAGAAGCTTGCCAAACCCGAGCGAGTTACCTCTTTCTTTATATCTCACCCAAGCCTCATAGATTGTGGGACCTTTAAACTTTTTCCTTGTGGGTGGAGGTGGAGAATGTATGTCTGTATTCATTTACAAATTCACGCCAGGAAGAGATCTTGGGCTCAGAAAGTCTTACTAACAGTCTGTTTCCAAAGAAAGCAAAGGCATCCACAATCCCAAATCTTCCCATTTGTGCACAAACACATGAATATAAAATAGAGTCTGATTAGGACTAGCGGAATGGTGAGATGTGATACAGGCATCTCTTCTGCCTCTCCCCCTTCCTTGGCAGTTTTTGATGAATCATCTAATGAAGTGCATATATTTTATAGTAGTATGTTTGGAGGTAGTGACATGATAAGATTATTCCTTCCCCTCACTCCTGGTCCTGTTTTTGCCTGAGTGGAACCACTGGCTTCCTCCCTGGGCCCAGCAGCTCCTGTGAGGCATTTTCCTCCACTTGGTGGAGCTGTGCACATATGTGCTTGAGGTAAATGGGCCGAACTCCCCCAGACTCTACTCCAGCTGCTCAGGATTGAAAGATCTTTCCAGTGCATCCGTGCATCACCCTGGCTTTGCATAGTGATGCCTTCCCCCTGACGGCACTAAAATTTTAATTAGTGGGCAATGCGCATTCCTATATAATGAAGCATACACATGGCAGGAAGTTAAGAGGACACGTTTGCAGTCCCAGTTTCATTGTCAACCAGCTGTGTGCTTCTGGGTAAATTGCTTTATTTTACAGTTCTTGACTAAGTGGAATAGGAAGTAATCTCTGGTCTGCTTAGCTCTCGAGTCTGGTGGAAGTTTAATGTAAAATTAGCTGTGAAAGTGCTTGGAGACTTGAAAGAATGGGCCAAATGCTTGTTGAATTGTACTAGCTTTTCTAATGTGCAGACCGCCCTATCCTGCCTAGTCTTTTTCACTTTCCAATCCATTTTCTTTGCTCATCATGGATTTGCTCCATGCAAATAAGCTCCCATCAGACCTCAGTTTAAAATCCTAAATGTTTCCTCCATCCCCTAGAATATCTGCAGCTCCTCTAGTGGCTTTCAGATCTCTTCACAATATGTGCCCTTCATCTCTGGGCAGTGCTAGAGATGCATCAGTGCTCTGGATGTCAGACCTTCCCTCTTGATTTTCAGCTCCTGGCATGGTGCTTCTCTCTGGCTTCTCTGCAGGGTACCACTGACTCATCTTCCACATTTTAGCACAGAGTCACTTTTGAGGTGAAGTTTCTGTGTCCTCTGTTAGCAGTCTGACATCTGTGCTCCCACCATTACTGTACTGCCCCCAGATATTGTTTTATCTGATTGTTTCTCCTCCAACAAAGTCACCCTATGGATGACTCAATATTGTAACACTGCCAGCTAGTAAAATCTCTAGCTTATAAAAAGTTCTCAAGAAATCTGTGCTTAATAGCAATCCATTACTATATTTTCCTATAGGCTTCTATAGCAAAGTACTACAAGCCTGTTGCTTTAAACCAACAGAAATTTATTTGCTAATAGGCTGAGAGGCTGAAAGCCTGAAATCATAGTGTCACCTGGGCTGTGCCCCCTCTGAGATTCTGGGTAGAATCTTTCTTGTTCTCTTTGGCTTCTGCTGGTGGTCATTTGTCCTCAGCACCCATGGCTTAGAGCTGCTCTCGCTCTATTTCCTCTGTTGTCACATGCTACCATCTCTGTGTGTCTGTGTCCCTATCCATTTTCACCTTCTCATAAGGGCATCAATTACTGAATTAGAGCTCACTGTGGTGACTTCATCTTCACTTGATTATTTCTGTGAAGACCTGATTTTTCAAGTAAAACTACATTAACAGGTACTAAAGATTCACTCAAGATTTTTTTTGCAAGGGGAATACAATTCAGCTTAGATTGATAAAACAAATAATATTTTAGAGAAAAATTTTCCCTTGGTTGCATATCTAATGTGTATGTATAGTGTATATGTGTACAAATGCATATATATATGCATACGTTCATATATTATTTTATGTTGTGAAATTGAGACTAATTATCCCAAAGAGAAAATATAGTTGGTCTCATCTAAAGCACTTGAAAGACATCTGTCTCTTTCAGATGTAAATTTCTAAATGACACAAATATTTCTTTGCCAACTTTCAGAATACTAAATTAGGATAATCCATCACCAAATAAACCCTGTGCTTCTAGCATTTAAAACTTAAAAGAAATCTGAGGTTCGTAGTCAGCTTAGTTATCTCTGCAACACAGCTTCCAGAATCACCATTTATTCAGATCTCCAAATTAAGGAGCCATCTGTGATTGGATTTGCTCCTTTTTTGCCACTTTCTTTTTCAGGAGGCCTGTCTTCTGGCCCTTAATGCATTTTCCTCCAAATGTCTCATGTACATTGTAGATCTTGTCCCTAGACCTCAGATTATAAAAAATAATGTCATGTTTTTAAAAAGCAACTGATCTACTAAATTATGCCCTAATTTGTAGCATTTAGCAATGCTGAAATAAAGTGGGAAAAGCTCACAAAAAATTTAAAGTACTTTTTAATGATTAACATTGTATAAAAGTCATTGAGATAGACATTTCATTTTGTTTTAATTAAAAGCATTAAAAGTAGTGCATTTGGTAAACTACTGAGTAAATACTCCTACTTTTTAATGATTTTCATTGTAATTAGTGGTAATATTGGAGTCAGCATTTGACTCTAGGTGCCAAGCCAAAAGCCTGTATTTTCCTGACTTCCAGCTTACTGCTACGAGGCAAAATCTTGCAAGAAACCAGGAATAAATAATCTTTGAGACTGATATGAGAGGAAAATAACAGATATGCCCTGTAAACTGACTTTGCTGAAGCAGGTGTTTTAGAGAATGTGAATCCCTCTTTTAGACCAAAAGCTTTATAGGTTACTAAATGACCAATGCACTTTCTCCAAATCCCATTCCTTTGGGTTCTCTTAGAATTTCAGATTAATTTAACCAAATACCAGTCTTAACTTTATCCCACTTTCCCTGAATATTAGTGGCTGAAAATACTTTCACTTTTATAAATGGAAAAGACATTGAATGAGGGAAAGAGGGGTTTAGAAATGTCCGATTCAGGTCACTGCACTGCTTCAAGGCAGTTTGCATGTTGCATTCATATTTTCAAAGTCTAAATTGGAGCCCTCTAACACTATTAGGGGTGCGCATGTGTGCAAGAACACCACCATATGGCAAAAAGCAGAGCTGCTAAAACTGCATATAACAGAGGTTAATTAGAAAAATAACTGAATCCCATACAAGGTACTAAGAATATATTATTTTCTAGATATATTTATCAAAAGTCTATGCATTGAGAAAACTATTGGGACCTACAAGTGCACGTGCTAGGAATAGTTCTGTTATGAAATATTCACATGTTGGAAAACAAAGCATGTTTATGAAAATGTAGTTATAGTCTCATTTTCAAAGGCATGACTATAGAAATCTTTAAACAACTGGAAATTATGAATAAGTACAAATAGACGTCATTTTTCTCTTTTCCTGTTCTATTCAATCAAAGGCACTATTCTAATTTGCCTTCTTGAGATTTTGGGCCAAATGCTGCATTTTTAAAAATCTACTTGTTGTAATGAAGTATCCATAAAATCTAAGGCACAGTTACCTCTCAAGGCTAATGCAAAGAAAGGAGTTTCAGAAAAGACTCTCCAGCTCCGCTGAATCTCTTTGCCTCATTACATCTGTTTCCATCCTGGTGTGGACAAACCTATGGTTAGTTGGCCTTCCTCCTCTTCAAAGCAAGGTACAATATTAAGTGAAAAGCACTTAAAATTCCCAAGAGAAAAGCACGAAACAAAGTAAAATGCATGTGTCCTTTATATTAATGCCTTTGTAGTTGTTATTAATAATGTCATCTTATGCCCATGGGTATTAGACAGTAGAATTTACATGCTGACAGAGCAACTAAGGAGGATCTTAGGTGTTAGGACGGATACATAGCAGTAGCCGTTTCTTCCCTTGTACATTATTAATGACGTCACTAATCAGGGACTGTGAACTCTAGATGCTTTTCATAGCTCTTCACTTAAAATGGAGTCTAGATTTTCTTTTTCCTATATTAAAACAAAAGACACAAAAATAATGATTAAAGTACATTAAAAGAGAAATTAAGAAGCAGTTTTGGTGTGCGTGCATGTGTGTGTGTGTGTATTTTGGTTTGTGGCATTTTCTTAGCTTTGGGGTCTTTGTTTTGTTTTATTGTTAGAATAACTAGCTGTCTAATGAATAACAAACCAAAAATTTAATGATCCTTTTTACCTAGTTATTTGGATACTTTTGGTGATTGGATGGCAGCCATTATTTTATAATCCTCAAAATTCAAAGCCACACCCTCACTTTTGAGAATAAAAAGGAAAGTGGACTCTTGTGGACGGCTTGTTATGATCTACATGCACCTCTTCTGTGTGTGTTGCTTGCAGGGTAACCTTGGGAGGTAGGTTTCATGGCTCTTGTGTGAAGAGTAAGAAATTTCCAGGTTAGGTGCCTAACTTTCCAATGTCAACCAGCTGTGGAAATAGACAACATTTGAACATAACATGTGAACTAGCTGCTGCCTATGGCTAAGTTATTTTCTTTCTATTATACTACTTATTAAAAAGGTATGATGTCAACATATAAAACTGCTATGGTACCTTTTTCAAATGCAAATGCAGAAAGGCAGAGAAAGGAATGCTCTTCTGCTCTCTGAAAGATAGAGGAAAAACCAAGCGACAGATTTGCTCTGCCCTACACTTCAGTGGCGCTGTAATTTTAAAATAATAACAAATGTTTAGATTTGTTTTCTGTTCTGTACTCACTAATTCCTGTGCTGATGCTCTGGCTAATGGGTATATGGAAGAAGCTCTTCATAATAAATTATAGTGTTTGTGTGTGAATGGATGGAAAGACACATCAGAGATAATGTAGTGTTTACTGCTTTACTATTAGCACAATAGTCTGTCTTTATGGAGTGTAATATTCAAATCTATGCACCAGTGCACTTTCAAATAGAGAGAATTTGCTTTCTATTTTCACTTAAAACTATCTTTTATTTTAATTAACAGGAATGCAGTTTAATCATCCATCTTTACTGCTAACAGTTTTATAGGCTTATAATACTGTCAGATTCTAGGGTGTATAAGTGAGAAATCGTCAGTTTTAGAGAAAAACAGACTTTGTTTTCTTTCTTCCCTTGCTTGCTTCCTTCCTTCCCTTTCCTCAACCTTTCTCACTCCTTAGCTTTCTTGCTCTTTTTTCTCTCCCTCTCACTCTTTCTGTCTTTCTCTCCCTCCTCTTCTCTCTTCTTGCCTATGAGAAGAGTATTCCACGAGAAGCCGAGAAGTTTCATTGGTGGTGTGATTTCACTAGCTGGATTGCATCTTAGAACATCTGGGAGAACTTTCTAAAACTTCATTCCAGTGTAATTATCCCAGGGGTTCCCAGAATAGGAGCACTTCACATAGAGCTAAAAGGATGTGTGGGTTGAACTCACTGGGAAGTTATCTATGGGTTGAAATCACTGGGAAGTCAGTTTGTCAACCAGTTCTTCAGGGTTGGTGGCTTTGAGGGTGGAAGAAATGCAGAAAGAATGAGATGGGAGAAGTCTGTGTAAATACTTCCACCATGGCCAATTCCAAGTTTTTGTTATTATTATTATTATTATTATTATTATTATTATTATTATGGTTCATTGGGGTGATACAAAAAGAAAGAGGGAAAACTGATTCATTTGAACTGATAATCACATGGTTTGAGATAGTATTTCATGTATGTAATTCAGACAGCTATTGATTTGTTGTTTCTATCAGAAATATTTTCACTCTTTCCTAAAGAGATTGTAATAGACATTAATGACATAATTTAAGAGATACCATTTGTTTTATTATACATCTCATCATTACTGCTTTGTATAAAACTAGATTTATGAAAAGATCTAGAGATTTCACATTATTATATCATCTCCTATTGATTTGAAAATGAGATGTTTATTTTACTAGTACGTTTCCCTGATTAAAAATTGAGACTGTGGGCTATTAAAAGCTTTCCTCAAGGCAATAAAATGATAGAGTAAAAGCTGTCAAATAATAAAAATTTCTTTTTTATTATGTTACATTTTAATCACAATTATAAAGACCCCCTTAAGTGGACAGAAAGTTATTTAGTAGTCTCAGAACATACTCCTATAAGATTATTTGTTTTTTGGATAATATATTAAAATTATGGGAGCTGGAGGTTTAGCTCAGCGGCATAAGCACCTGCCTTGCAAGCAGGCAGTCATGAGTTCGATCCCCGGTACCGATAAAAAAGGAAAAAGACAAAAAAAAAAAAAAATTATGCCACTGGGAATTTGTTTTTCTAAGTTTTGATTAACATGTAATAATTATACATATTTATAGGGCAAAATGTGTTATTTTATGGAATACAGTAAATATGTACATGTACCAGTCAAATCAGAGTAATTAGAATTTCCTTCCCTTTATCATTACATTATGTTAGGTTTGAAGTTTTTCTCCTTTAGTTCTAATTCAAAGCATGGTAGTCTGTCGTGAATTAAAGTCACACACTGTGCTGTGGAACTCTAGGGTGTCCTCTTCTATCTCACTGCATTTTGGTGCTGGGTATTCAGTCTGTCTCTGCCTCCCGTTCTTGCCCTTCCTCCCAAACTCTGGTATGATTATTCTACACACAGGTCAACTCTTTTAGCTCTCATATACAAGAGAAAATATGTGATATTATCTTTCTGTGTCCAACTTATTTCACTTAATGTCCTCTAGTTCTACCCATTTTTCTGCAGAGGACAGGATTTCATTCTTTTCATTTCATTGTGTATATAGCACATTATTTTTATTCATCTGTTCCTGAGCGGTTGATTCCATTATGCCATTGTAAATGTACTGCAATAAACAAGGACTTACAGGTATTTCTTTGATATGCTGATTTGGGTTCCTTTGGCTATTGAGTACATATCAGGAAGTGAGATCTTATCATACATCTATTAGCTGGATCATATCATAGATATATTTTTAGGTTTTTTAAAATAATCTTCCTACTGTTAACCCTAATGGCTATTCTCCACAAAAGTACATAAAGGGTTCTTTTTCTCTGTATCTTTTCCAGAATTTATTCTCTTTCTGATAATAGCCATTACACCTGGCATAGGATAATGTCACATCATGGGTTGTATTTGTATTTCCCTGGTAGTAAGCCACACTGAAAACATCTTTAGATATCTACTGGCCATTTGCACATTTTTGAGAAATGTCTATCTAGCTCATTGTTTCTTTTGTTTGTTTGTTTTTAGACAGAGTTCACTATGCAGTTCAGGCTGGCTTTGAACTCACTTTGTAACATAGGTTAGCTTTGACCCCACAGCAGTCCTCCTGCCTCAGCCTCCTGAGTGCTGAGATTACAGGAATGTGCCATCACACCTGGCCCATTGGTTCATTATTAATTGGATAATTTTTTGTTGTTTATATTTTCAGGTGAATAATTGGTAAACATTTCTCCCGTTCTGTATGTTGTCTTTGTAGTTTCTTTTTTGTACATAAATTTATTAGCATGATAATTCTATGTGTCTATTTTTGCTTTGGTTGCTAGTGCTTCTTTTTTTAAATGAGATTTTACATTTACTAAAGATAGGAAAAGACTTATGCTCTGCAGAGTGAAAGCAGGCAGGTGAGAAAGAGAAAACACAATAGCAACAAGTTTAAGGGCCACCGTCTTTGTATCCTCTGCTCCACAGGCTGACATCCTATTGAGGCCACCCAATCAAAACTTGGTTTGAGTTCACACGATAAAAACTGAAGATAGCATTTTCTGATTGGTCCAAGTTGCAGAGCTTAGGAACTGTGTTTCTCTGCATGCATCCTAGATCTCTGTGATTGAAATGTAGTTCCTTTTACCTTCACCCTAGTCTTCTGCTTCATTTCCCCTTGGGAGACATAAATCACCATAATTCTTTATGGGACGCTGGAGGTGTGTTATCTCTGTTCCCATGTAGCTACTTACAGCTGACAGAGGCTCTAGATCTCTCCAGTTGGGGATTATGTGTGCTCCAATCACTTGGGGTACTGTGGCTCACCTAGGAGACTGAGAAAACCTGTCAGAAGACAGTGAGAAACAAGTTAGTGTCTATATGTCAAGAGATGTAGAGCTGGCTGTTCAATGGGAGAAATGCTTGGTGCATTGTCAAGAGAGTCATGGGCTGTAGTCTGGATCACTATCTTTACTGGTAGGCTGAGGATGCAGGATCAAAAAATGAGAAGGAGCAGGTCAGAATATTTTCTAGAATACTGTTTTAAAAGGTGGACTGGAAAATATCCAGCAAATAGATCCATGCTTTCCGTAGAGGAGAAAGCACAGTGAAGAGTGTTATTAGATAGACTTCCAACAGCCTGCGACCTATAGCCCTAGCAAGCAGTAGTCCTTGTGAGTAGCAAGATTACTCACATTGTGGAGCAAGTTCAAAGTACGAGTCTCAATACAGGTGCTGGTAGGAAGAACTAGGTGTTGCTATTGACTCTACTTACCTGCACATAGTGTAGTAATTGAGTCTTGTTTTTTGAAAAGGAACTCTTGTCTTCCAGAACTTCACAGAGTAGCTTTATTTGAGATGATGTTTTTCCTCAGACAGTTCAGGTACGGCTGGCTTCATCCCGGAAAGGTGAACCCAGCAATCTGTCTCTGCCAGCTTTACTGCAATGGGTGTGGCAAGGATAATTGAAAAGGAACTTTTATTGTTGCCTGCACTATGGAACACAGGGCCAGAACACAAGCTGCTTCATAGTCAGTAAAGAGTTTATTTAATTTTCTAAGTACAACAGAATACATTGGAGGGTATAATGCTGAGGCATAACATGAACCGATTTAAAATTTTAAAAGATTACCTGCTGTATAAAAAACGATTACATGCAATAAGTATAAAAACCAGTTAGGAGACTAGTTAGAAGTTTTGGCTATTGTTCTTGTTCTTGTTTTGTTTTAGTATGGGGGAGTCAAACTCATGACCTCACACTTGCCAGGCAGGCACTGTGCCACTGAGTTATATCCCTGGCATGTTTTGTTTTGTTTCATTAGTAGAGATTGAACTCAATGCCTTCACCGAGAGATATATCCCTAGCCCTTTCATAAACTTATTTTTAAATTTTGTGATAGTCTCAGTAAGTCACTAAATCACACAGGCTGGGCACAAGTTAGTGATTCTCCTGGCTCAGCCCTCCAGAATGCAGGAATCACATGTTTGCTGCACCACACCAGGCTACTTAGATAATTACAGGAATTCTGGTGGAAAGTGACAGTGACTTGACCTAAGGTGCTAGCAGTAGAGATGCAAAGGAAATTCTGTTCATGGTTTAGAGGTAAAAGAGGCAAGACTTGTTGAGAAATTGGCATATAGGGTTGAGAAATAGAGAAATAACAGCAATTTTGAATTTTCCACTTGAGCAACTGAGTGAATGGTATTAGCATTTATTCAGATAGGAAGAAGAGCACACTTGGGAGACGTGTCATTGCTCTCTGGCCGTGTTCCCATTTTGAGATGTCTATATCAGAGAACTCTCCTCTGAGTGGTTCATTGCACAAATTCATTTGAGAAACACAGAGTTAAATTCCATTTGGAAGCTATAACACAAAGCTAGTACGGAAAGCTAAGGCAGCTGTGGTGGCAAACCTATGGCATGCAGCAGCTGCAGGCTGTTTGCATCATTGAAAGCTCCAAAAGGTTCTCTATCACTGACCAAGAGAGTACTTACAGAGAGTGAAAAGAAAGATGCCCAGGATAGACCTCGAGAGGCTCCCGCACATGCAGTGAGCATAGAAAGAGAAGACAATAAAAACACTGGGAATGTGCAAAAGGGAAGTGGAACTGAAGAGCACTTAGGATGCTTGGAGAGAGACTGAAATTGTCATCTAGGAAACTGAGGATTCAAACACTGAACACAAAATGGTGTGAGGAGACAGTTCTCCAGGAATCTCTCACATTTCTTTCTCATTTTATAATCAGAGCTTCTGACTACTTTTCCACTGCTGGGTAGTGAACACCTTAGGAAATACAGTGTTTTCTTCCAGAGAAATGCAGATGTGTGCTGTTCAGTACTATTATGTCCCCTTGCAAAGGTCAGGCAAGTGTATCATCCTTTTAAAGTATTCAGATTCCTAAGTGCATGCTTCCTATCCCATAATGCCAGCCACATATTTGTCACCTAGTCCTTTTCTCATTGCCCAGTGAGAAGTGGGACTCAGGGTACAAATGCTGACATGATGGCTACTGCTTTTATGAAGTCCTCTATCTTTTTCTTGTTTAAATTTTATTTAAAAGGAAAAAGAGAAAAAAAACAAAACAAAACAAAGTGGTGTAAGGGTACAAGTAATACAGAACTACAAAAAAAAAAAAAAAAAACCAGTAAGAAATCATCAGTCAATAGATTACACATTATCATCTTAGAGATAGTTGCTCAAGTCACAGTATCAAAGCATACAAAGTGGACATTCAAACAGTGAGACTACAAACAGTTGTGTTCAATGATCCAACCAAAAACATTAATATGGTCATCTATTTAACACCCCTAAACACACTTGCAGTTGTGTCCTTTAGAGCAAAAGTCCTCTATCTTTAACTGAAAAGGCTCATATCCCCTACTGGTGTCTAAGAAACAGTATCAGGCTGACTTTTCCAGTAGGCTAAAATTTCACTGTTCTTCAAAGGATAGTCTTGGCTGTCCTCTTGATATCAAAGACCAAAGGAACCTACTTTCCTGCAGGAATATTCAGTGGCTCTGCAGCAGGTATGGCATAGACAGCTTAGATGTTTAATGTGAGTAGCCTCCTACATGGTCACATAATTCCTATCACATACTCCCACTATAGAAATACACAGGCCCAAGACTAATATTTTGAACCCTGCTGGATAGAGTGCTGATAAGTACATTAGGACATTCAGATTTTTCCATGAGGTACAAAAATAGCAAATACTCATCTATCATAATTAAATTGTGTATTCTTCTGCTTAGATGACACAACTCATATGAAAGGCTTGGGCCTTATGTAATACTTATATTAATAGTACATGACTAAATCACAAACTGTAAATTGCATTTAATTAATAGCAATAGGTAATAATACATTTTCAGGGCATGTGGGAAGGTGATTACATATTATGCAGACATGTACTATATATAGGTATTATTCAATTAAGAATCAATAAACATGTTTTATAAATATCTCTATTGTGAATTTTTAATTGAACTGAGGAAAATTCCTTTACCACCTGGATGGTAGTGTCTCTCTGTAATATAAAGATATTAACCCCAGAGAGTAGTTAAGTAGATATTTGTCTGCAAAGCAATTTAATGCAAATGATATTGTGTCTTTCTGTATGTGCAAGATATACATGTATAATGTACTGTGGAATTCCAAGTATTTGAGTCTGCTCTGTCTACAGACAGCTGTACAAAGGGAAGGCCCTATGCAAGTCCAGTTCTAGTTGTAGGTTTGTACTCTCTCACCCGCATCTCCTCGTTCCATTATTGCCCCTGATGTGCGTAGTCATCCTCATCTCCCAAGTTCTGGTTGGCTTGGCTCCATTTAGGTACCAGAAAATTGCTTTCCTTTCTCTCTATGTGTTGCTGCAAGCCAGCAAATATTTACTCAATTCTAGTCAGAATTCCTTCCTTCATTCCTAAGTTCGTACTTTGCATGGAGTTCTTCTGCCAGGAGCAGCTTTATATTACAATTGCAGTTTTCTTAAGTTTGCTGGACACCTGAAATTTATCTTGTGTCTGCTGGAATTCATTCCATGTCAAAGGATCTAGGAACTGACAGAAGATTTTATTACTGTGGAATAATGTCTTGTGTCCTTGTTAGAAGAAAGAGGGGCCAGAAGAGCCCTTGAGAGGCCCCTTTCTCTAATTTCTTGCTGTTTTCCTCTTCTGTGTGTTCAGCAATCCACCTGCCGGGGCCCAGCCTTCAGGATCAGTGATGCAGCATTCAGGATCAGTGATGACAACAGTGCAGTGCTTGGATTTAACTTCAGAGGCAAGGTGCCAGTGGAATAAATAGAATATGTAATTGTTGTACCAAGGACAGAATGTGTCTGAGCTCTCTGTGGGGGTCCTCATTTAAGCCCAACACCCAAGAAAGACAAACATCTAACGCTCAGCATGAGGCCTCTAAGGCAAGGGAATACAAACAGAGCATTTTCCTCATAAAAGGCAAGTTTTCAAAACTCAAGTCAGAACCAAGTTGCCAATCCAAAGAAAGCTTCGCCTCTTCCTGAGACCTGCAGTGGTGGCCAGGCCACCTTGCTCTATGCCTTTCTGCTGGCACAAAGCACAGTCCAGCATTTTGGGCTCCGTCTGCTGGGAGAGTCCAAATGATTTTTCTTGCAGATAGTTGAACCTAAAATTGTTTTCATTATTTTCTCTCTTGAACGATTGCCTTTAGCGTGGCATAAAAGACTCCTTAGTATTTTAACCACAGTGATCATTCTGGGCACATCTTCTCCTTTTCTCTACCCACTGATTATTCAAACACATCCAAAATTCAAGTTTTCTGGGACGTCATCCTTTCTTATAAATCTGTATTTCAGTATAAAACATTCTTTCTGCTCGGCCCATTCATACTATTCCTCATTCAAGGTCAAGTGCAGCTTTCTGTTTGAAGAAATTTCTACTGATCCCTGTTCCTCTTCCCATTCTCCAGTGCCTTAGTTATCAGAATGAATACACCTAGGGGAAAAATCTGCTTCATGGCCTGGCAGGTGACAGAAAATGGACTGAGAAAATCACCTAGCAATTCTTTCCTCTGGCACAGTCCTGAACCCAAGATGAAAAGGAACCCAAGTTTTATTTGACTAATCATAAATTGTCATGAAACAAAATAAGATATAAGCCTTTGAACCATGACAATGTAATAATGTTGTAAAGAAATAGCATTATTACATATATGCCTGTTAGAGAGATCATTTGAACTGTAGAGTTCAGTTATTGCTGGTGTGTCAGTGTTTATATTGGCTTTTTAAGAAGTCTAAAATCTGCACACTCAGCTCTAAAAAGTTAAAAGCTGCACCTAGCAGGTTGAAAATGAAGGTGTAATCTTGTTCTGACTGATTTTACTCTATTCTGTTCTGTTTGATATTATTAATTTTGAGGGTATAGGCAACTGCTTTGAAGGCAATAAGATTCACTATAATGCCCATTCTGGTTTGACTATTATCTTCTTTTGAAGTTCAGTTAATGTCTCCAATGTTTAGGTTTTATTGGTTTTGGTCTATACTGTTTTGTTCAATTTTATTATACCTGATGATATAGGCAATTCTTTTTAAGGTAGCAAGAGGCATTATGGTAACCATTGTTGATTACCTTGTATTCTGTTTCTACCTCATGTACTACATCCATCCTTTGTTTTGACTGACTCTGCTTTGTTTTGTCATATTTGGTTTTATTCTCTTCCAAGAAAAAAAGTAATAAGAACTGTGGAGTAATAAAGCCTCAAACGTGCAAATGTTATTGTAAAAAAGAGAGGGAAAAAAAGTACTCTAAAGGACACAACTGCAAGTCTGTTTAGGTGTGTAAGATAGATGACCGTATTACTAAGTTTTTGTTGAATCATTGAACAGAACTGTTCGTAGTCTCACTGTTTGACTGTCCACTTTGTATGCTTAAT